GACCCCCCCCCAAAAAAAAGAAACAAAAATGACTAATGCTACCAAGAATTCTTTCCCATGTTGCACTTGTAAGGATATTAAATCTCTAGGGGCTCTGTGTTCAAGCGTAAGATGAGCTGCAAAGTCATCTGTGACATGATTAGGATCGCCTCCAGGTAACGCTGCACATATTGGACAAATCTGAAATAAAAGTAAGGAAAGCAGGTTTAATAAATGGATGAGGGTCAGACACTTTTCTGGATCAGAATTCTACTATTACCAAGTTTTAACCAGGCAAAAAACATAGTAGTAGATCTTAAACTACTGAAGAGCAGTAGAAACCTAAGCAAGAACTAGTACAAACTAATGCTCCCACACAACTAAAATACAGTTTTTCAAGGTTACATACAACAGGGAAGGAAATGTACTCATTATCTGATTTATGAAATGGTAACTCCAGTGTGCAATACCTTAATAGAAACAATAAATTAAGATTGCTTTACAAAAATGCTCTGCAATAGATATGGCTAAATCCACTCGAGTGATAAAGAAAGATATAAGCCGTCTGTTATACTTCTCTAAAGCAAGGTATCCTTGCAGGTCAATTTTCAACTAACATTGATGTAGGTGGTTCACAACTGTAATCTAGCTACTGGGAGGCTGAGATCTAGTGTCAGTCTCTGGCCATAAAAGTCTGGTAGACTCCATTTTAGGGAGGGAAGGTGGGGACAATGGTGTATACCTGTCATTCTGGCAATGATGGAAGACTAAAGCATATAGATTAAAGTCTAGGTACTTTAACAGAATTGAGACCCTGTATCAAAAATAACAGTATAAGCAAAGTGCCAGTGGCTCAAGCCTATAATTCTAGCTACTCACGAGGCTGAGATCTGAAAATCAAGGTTGAAGTTTGGATTCAGCCAAGTCAGACAAATCTGAGTCTTATCTACAATTAACTAGCCAAAAGCCAGAAGTGGAGACGTGGTATAGTCCCAGCCATGAGTGAAAAAGCTGAGTAAGAGCATAAGGCCTTGAATTTAGCCCCAGTACTCGTAGCAGTGTAAAACAGGGTTGGAAGCATGGCTCAGGGGTAGAGCAACTACCTAACAAGTCCAAGGCTCTGATTTCACACCTCAGTTTTACTCTCCACTCCTTAAAATCCTGATTAAAATGCAACTGTACTAAAAACTTATATCCACTGACTGGTAAATTAAGTTCAGTAATGGTTACTACTGCACAAATGTGTTCTCTAAATTCAAAAATTCGATTTTGGCAAACAGAATGGGAACTCATTCAAGAAGCTTTATTTCTCAGAAAGATGACCAGTGTGGTAGGAATTTGTGGCCAGGCCAAGTTCAAGGGGAAAAAAAACTTGGAAGTTCTTCCTACTGAGCAAGACAAAGAAAATGTAAAAAATAACACAATATGTACAAAGTAGGTTTCAGAGGAGGCCTGATTGGAAAGATCTTTTTTTTTTTTTTAGGTCAGTCGTGGAGCTTGAACTCTGGGCTTGGGTGTTGTCTCGAGCTTCAGCTCAAGGCGAGTGCTCTACCACTTGAGCTACAGCACCACTTCCAGTTTTTTGGTGGTTAATTGGAGATGAGTCACATGGACTTTCCTGCATGAGTTAGCTTTGAACTGTGATCCTCAGATCTCAGCCTCCTGCGTAGCTAGGATTACAGGTATGAGCCACTGGTGCCTGGCGGGAAGGTCATTTTTGAAATAGTAGTTTCAACAGAATCACCAAAATGGAAAGGAAGGAGAGGAAGAATGAGAATCTTGGCTGGGCAATGGTGGCTCAGGTCTATAATCCTAGCTACTGAGGAGGCTGAGATCTGAGGGTCATGGCTCGAATCCAGCCTAGAAAGGAAAAGTACAAGAGACCTTTTTTTTTTTAAAAAAAAAAAAGGTGTATACCAGTCCTGCTTGAACTCAGGGCTTGGATGCTGTCTCTCAGTTTCTTTTGCTCAAGGCTTTCATTCTATTATTTGAGCCACAGTGCCACTTCTTGCTTTTTCTGAGTAGTTTGTTGGAGATAGCCTTTCCTGCATGGGCTGGTTTTGAACTGTAATCCTCCGGTCTCAGCATCCTAAACAACTAGGATTATAGGTGTGAGCTACCAGCACCCAGCCAAGAGACTCTTACCTCCAATTAGCCAACAAAACACTGGAAATGGAGTGGTGGCTCAAGTGGTAAGAGTGCTACTAGCTTTGAGTACAAAAGCTCAAGGACAGTGCCCAGGCCCTGAGTTTAAGTTGTAGGATCAGCACAAGAAAGGGAAGGAAGAAAAGGAAAAACAAAGAAAGGAAGAAAGAAAACCTTAATAGTCAAGATCCTTTTTCTTTTAGAAGATAGTCTAACAGTGGTGGCTAAATCTTGGAGTAGGAGGAATTTCAATTCATCAAGAAAGCCACTAAAAGAAGGCCTGATGCAAAGGGGCTATGACCAAAGGGAATCCCAGGAACATAGCCCTACTCAAAGGTGAGTTGCAGAAGGACAATGCTTAGGCTCTGATAAGCTAAAACCTAAGCAAACACAACTTCTCATCTTCTATGACTAAAGAAGATCCTTGAGAGTCTGACTCATTTGAAATCAGTCTCTCTTGTGCCCAGTCAGCTATCTTTATTTTGTGACTCAGAACTTGAGAAATATCCTCAAGAAAACAGAAAGATGCTCTTGAAAGATAACACACATGACAATGTGCTAAAGAACTATAAAGGCCAAAATGGAATGTGCCTGAGGGGTAAATGAAAAAGACAAGACAGGTTCAAGACTTTCTTAAAAGATGTCAAAAGTTTGGTTAAACATTCTTTTCCTCCATGGTCACAGTATATTATCAATATTCTCTTTCCTAGAACTTAGGTTTTATAGCCTTTATCACTCCTGTGCTCTGATATTGCCTGGTCGTGTTTGATATACTTATTTTACTTCTCCTGTATTTCTGTATTGTTGGCTAGATTATAAATTTGCTTGGGGCTTGTCTGGACTACAACTCTCCTATTTACATCTCCTGCACAGCCAGGATTACAAGCATGAACCACCATGCCCAGCTTAGACTGGAAACTTTTGGGAGATGCTGGGAAGTATAAATTTCCTTTGTTTTTTAACTGAGGGAGAGGAGGGGGAGAGAGAGAGAGAGAGAGAGAGAGAGAGAGAGAGAGAGAGAGAGAGAGAGAAAGTTAAAAGAAACAGAAACAAGTTTCAGTTGTAGACAAAACAAGCATATTGTTGAGACTCTTCATTTTACAATTGACGTGTACCAAACTATGTTCTGCTGTTTTATTACAGTATCATAAGCCATATATATATATATATATTTTTTTTTTTTTCCCTAGTCCTGGGGCTTGAACCCAGGTCCTGGGCACTGTCCTTGAGCTTCTTTTGCTCAAGGGTAGCACCCTACCATTTGAGCCACAGCACCACTTCTGGCTTTTTTTATGTAGTACTGAGGAATTGAACCCAGGGCTTCATGCATGCTAGGCAAACACTCTACCGCTAAGCCACATTCCCAGACCAAGCCGTATAATTTTTATCCAAAGAGAAAATAGTACCCAAAGAGATCTTTCTCTAAGATATTTCCTTTAAGCAGTCCTTTGGATAAAGCAGACACAGAGAGAACTGGAACTGAACCAAGATAGCTGAAGAAACTTCAGTGCTTTAAGGGCACAGTTAGATATTCTTAGATGAGCCTACAATTCTAGCTGAGATCAGAGAACTGAAGCTTGAAGCTAGCCTCGGCAGAAAACTCCTTGATATTCTATCTTCAAAAAAAATGCCAGGCTGGGATGTGGCTCAAATGGTAGGGCACCAATTGTGAGAAGCACCTTTAACCCTGAATTCAAGCCCTAGTATCAGCCAATTAAAAATATACATATATATATATATAATATATCCAATATATGAGAAGCCATCTAAATAACATATACTGTTAGAAGACAGCATACAAAGCATAAATAAGTGTATTAAAAATGCCCTAATTAGGGGCTGGGAAGGTGGCTCAGTGGCAGAGTGCTTGCCTTGCATGCCTGAGGCCCTGGGTTCGATTCCTCAGCACCACATAAGCAAAAAGAAAAAATCTGGAAGTGGCGCTGTGGCTCAAGTGGTTGAGTGCTAGCCTTGAGCTGAAGAGCTAAGGGACAGCGCCCAGGCCCAGAGTTCAGGCCCCACGACCGGACCCCCCCCCAAAAAAAAATACCCTAACTAGATATTCTACAAACTAGAGAAGCGCTTTTGACATGGGGGTTATAAATTAGAAAATTAAGATTCTCACTATTGTGTATTAACTTCAGTTCGATACTCAAAAGTCTTTTAAAGTACATTGCAGAAACTGTGCTAAGAGAGCAGAAATGAAGGTGTTCAGGGAGAAGTAAAACAATCTGCCAGCTGGGTGCTGGTGGCTCACGCCTGTCATCCTAGCTACTCAGGAGGCAGAGATCTGAGGATCGAGGTTCAAAGTCAGCCTGGGGAAGGAAACTCTGTGAGACTCTTATCTCCAATAAACAACTAGAAAACCAGAAGTAGCGTTGTGGCTCAAGTGGTAGAGCGCTGGCCTTGAGCTGAAGAGCTTGAGAGATAGCGCCCAAGTCCCACGACCAACCAAAAAAAAAAAGAATCTGCCAATCAGCATCCATAATGACTCAAGATGCTAGTTATTCCTACAGAGCATAAGGAAACTATTTGAGTAGGTGGATTAATCAGTTTGACAACTGGTGTGGAAAATTAAGAGAACCAATTTAAAACCAAGTAGATAATATTGCTACCATGTTTGGGTTACATGAAGTTAACTCAGATGAATTAGTATTTAGAAAGAAGTGGACTAAGATTTCCCTCCCCAACTCTCTCTTCCTCCCCCCTCTTTTAGGTGCCAGTACTGGAGCTTGAAGTCAGGGCCTTGAGCTCTCAGCTTTGTTGCTTCTGGCCAGTGTTTTAGAAGTCAAGCCACGCCTTCCTATTTAAATTCCTACTTTGCTGGCTAATGGAAGATGAAGCTGCATAGACTTTTCTGCATAGGCTGGCTTCAAACAACAATCCTCAAGGACTCAGCCTTCTAGTAGCTATGACATTAGGTGTGAGTCACCACACTCTCAGGGCTTTTTTTCCCCTCTTCTAAATGTATCTTGCTTTTAAATGCTTATATCCTGATTGTAAGAGGGGGGAAAATGACCTATTTGCCTGCTATCTGCTTTTTGTCCCCCTTTATTTTTGGAGGGGAGCGGTACTGAAGTTTGAACCCATAGCTCTGTGCTTGCTAGACAGGCACTCCACTACCAAAACCATGCCCCCAGTTTATGGTATATGGTTTTAGTCCTTCATCCTTTCAAAATTAAGCCTCCTTTTTTTGGAGAGAGGGGGGCAACTAGGGTTTTGTTTTGGGGGGTCCAGTCGTGGGGCCTGAACTCTGGGCCTGAGCGCTGTCCCTCAGCTCTTCAGCTCAAGGCCAGTGCTCTATCACTTGAGCCACAACACCACTTCCGGCTTTTTTCTTTTTGCTTATGTGGTGCTGAGGAATCGAACCCACCAAGGCCTCATGCATGCAAGGCAAGCGCTCTCCACTGAGCCACCTTCCCAGCCCGCAACTAGGGTTTTTGAACTCAAGGCTTTGCACTTGCCAAGTTGGTGATACTGCAATGTTATGTGTCCAGCCCCGCTTTCTCTCTCTCTCTCTCTCTTTTTAATTCTTTTTTGTTGGTTGTGAGACTTAAACTCAGTCTGGGTGTTGTCCCTGAGCTTTTTCATTCAAGGCTAGCACTCTACCACTTTCAGCTATAGGTCTACTTCCAGTTTTCTGGTGGTTAAATGGAAGATATGAATCTCACAGACTTCCTACCTAGGCTGGCTTTGAACCATGATTCTCAGACCTCAACCTCCTGAGTAGCCAGGATTACAGGAGTGAGCCATCAGCACCTGGCTTCCCAGGTTATTTTTAGGATAGGGTTTTGTGTCCTGCACCCACCAACTTTAGACTTCTTGTTACTGATGGTTCACAAGTGGGTATCACTGTGTTTGGCTTCCTTCTGTGGCAACAAAATCTCTTGGGCTCCATAGAATGGTGACCCTCTTAGTGTCAGCCTCCTAGGCACTTAGAGTAAGTGCTTGCATGCCACTGGCACAGCTCAAAACTAAGCCTCTAAAATTAATTTAAATTAATCTTAAGGAGACAGACTGGAGGCATGGCTCAAGTCATAAGAGTGCTTGCCTAGCAATCAGGAGGCCCGAGTTAAAAGTCTCAGTACTATAAGCAAAAAAAAGCAAGTAACTTTTGTTGGCTCCATTGGGAAAGGAGGCAAAAACAAAACAAAACAAATACAAGTACACGTATATAAAAAATGCATTAGACAGAAAGACAGATAACAAGATTATTGGAAAAATTAGTCTTCACTTTATCAGCTCTCCAAGCACTTACTATGATATTCGTTGTGACATATCCTCTGGATCCTACATGTTCCAAAGGAAACTTGGTTAAGAGTAAGATCCTACTTCCTCTACAGTAATATATGAATTGGTGGTCTAGCAGACAAATGTAGGTAACACTGAGGTAAAGAAAGATAGTGAAGTGGAACTGTGGCTCAAAGAGGCAGAATGCTTAGTCTTGAGCACAAAAGCTCAAGGACACAAAAGCCCAAGTCCTGAGTTCAAACCTCATGACCGAGAAAAAAAAAACAAAACAAACAAAATAACTCAACAAAAATCAAGATAGCACTTAGAAAACCAAACATTAAGAGGAATAGAAAAGGAGATATAGGTATAGCTATGTGAGTATAATAGTCCACCAAAATGATATGGTTCACTCTTGAACACTGCTGCGATACAAAGAAAAGTCTGATTTACTACAAGTGGCAAAATACTGTGTGGCAATACTGACATTTTCATGTAACTAATATATCAGAGTTGATAATATAGTATACACATGTATAGAGAGCCTGTCTGGCAGTCACCAATCCTTATGGCCACTACTCTGTAAGCATACTTTAGTTTGCTTGGTGAATATTATTAGTGTTAGATGGAGGACCCAACCCACATAATCAATAAGAAAACTCTATACCTTTACATTAAACATTTTTACTTGCTGTTTTTCACTTTGAAATGTCTGGGTGTGTTAAGAGTAGGTAAAGAGGCAGATGTGTTAATCATTCAAAGACTAAGGGTTAACTACTCCAGGAAATGAAAATGAGGTTTTTTTTGTTTTTATTTTCTTTCTTTTTTGTTCTGTTTGTTCATTTATATGTCTTTAGGAGTGTAAGGGGAGGTGCAGAAATGGAGAGACAAAGGGTAAACAAATATAGCAATAGTACTCACTAGATACTGTTGAAAATGAACTATACAAGCCAGGCGCTGGTGGCTCATGCCTGTAATCCTAGCTACTCAGGAGGCTGAGATCTAAGGACTGTGCTTCAAAGCCAGCCCTGGCAGGAAAGTCTATGAGACTGTATCTCCAATTAAACCACCAGAAAACTGGAAGTGATGCTGTGGCTCCAAGTGGTAGAACTCTAGCCTTGAGCGAAAGTGCTCAGGAACAGCGCAGCACCCAGGCTCTGAGTTCAAGCCCACAACACCCCCTTACAAAAAGAAGAAAAAAAAAATCCAACCACTCAATCAAACAAACAAAAAACATGAAAATGAACTATATACAACATGTGGGTGGGGACGGGAGGGGAAAATGGGGAGTGAGGGAAGGGATGACATTGTCCAATAAAGAAATGTACTTTTTACCTGACTTATGTAACTGTAACCCCTTCTGTATAAATCTTTATAACAACAATTAAAAAAAAGACACTAAGGTTTAAAAGGAAGGAGAAATCCTTGAAATATTCCAGAAAACCAATATGGAAAACTAAAATGGTTACTGCCTTGAGCTGGGAGCCAAAAGCCTGGCAACTTAATGTAAGTAAATAACTAAATACAACTTTTGGGTGGCAGACCACAAAAACATTTGGAAATGGTATTAATTTCCAAATTATATATCAGGTATAGAAGAATGCAACCTGATATTGAATCTTTTTTTTGGATGGTTGTAGGGCTTGGACTCAGGTCGGGGAACTGTCCTAGAGCCTCTTTGTGCTCCAGGCTAGTGCTCCAGCACTAGAGCCATAGCATCACTTCTGTTTTTGAGTTGTTAATTGCCCTGATTGTCTTCAAACTGCAATCCTAAAATCTCAGCCTCCTGAATAGCTAGGATTACAGGTATGAGCCACTGGCTCTTTACTTTCAGGAAAAAGAACAGAACACTCTACTTCTTGCCTTGTTGTATCTAGGTAATAAGGATTAAGAGAAACTAAATAAAAGTAAAATAAGTGTAAGTTTTCTACACTATTGGGATGGTGATACAATGAATCAGGCCTCTTTATGTTGTTATTGTAGACTGCACCAAATGGAAGCCAAGTTATTTTACAGAACAAAAGAACAAGAGTAGAAGTATAGTGGGACAACAGGCTTCCCTAGAAGGTAAGACCATTCCTGACCTGTAGACAGAAAAATTTGTCTTAAAGACTAATAAAAGTAAATTTACCAATTGTCTGAACTCTAAATCCTTTATGACATTTTAGAAAGCACAAATTGGCAGTGTCCATGGGAACAAAGGTGACATTGCACTATTCCAGACAGAAGAGATGTAGTCAAATTAAGTAGAGACTCTGGATCTCACAAGGCCTCTAGTGAAATGCAAACATCTGCCTGTCCTTGAGAGTGCTAGTTTATTGTTCTGGATTTCAGTTAGTCTTCAGTATACTTAATTGTTGATATGTGTGCAACTGTGCCAAAGTCTCCAAATTCATCACTTTATCAATTATTGCCAATAGGAAAAAGTAAGAGCTGACTCTGGATCTGGTTCTGCCTGATATAGTTACTATACAGATATCTACCTACCTATACATCCATCTATCTAGCCATTTATATGCATTCCTCCCTACCTCCATCTGTTCTTCCCTACAGAATCACTAGCTTGAGTTTTACACCGCTCATTTCCTCAGATTTTTTTTTTTTGGGGGGTTGGTAGTGGGGACTGAATTCTGGGCCTGGGCACTGTCCCTCAGCTCTTCAGCTCAAGGCTAGGTACTACCACTTGAACTACAGCACCACTTCTGGCTTTTTTTCCCTGTTTATGTGGTGCTAAGGAATTGAACCCAGGGCATCACGCATGCAAGGCAAGCACTCTACCAATGAGCCATCTTCCTAACCCCCTCAAAGATTCTTTTGGGTATATTTATCATTTCTTCTTTTTTTTTTGGCGGTCATGGGGTCTGAGCTTGGGGCTTGGGCACTGTCCTGGGCACTGTCCCTGAGCAATTTTTGTTCAAGGCTAGTGCTTTATTACTTTGAGCCACAGCTCCACTTAAGTTTTCTGGCGGTTAATTGAAGTCTCACAGATTTTCCTGCCATGGCTGGCTTTCAACTGTGATCCTCAGATCTGTCTCCTGAGTAGCTAGGATTATAGGCATGAGCCACTGGGGCCTGGCTGACAACCAAAGATTTCTAAGAATTGGTGTGAAAGTTCCTTATAGAAGAAAAACTAGGCATCAAGCATTAGCAAAAGTAGTTTAAAAAGGTCAAGACTTCATGCTGTACTACTCTCAGTAAGAGGGCAATAAAAGCTAGCGTGAACAAGTATCTTATACAATGCAGCATCCTAGAACTGAAAAATGATTTTGTAAAATAATTTTAATTATTATACAAATGACATCAGTATACTAAGCAAGATGTAGATGATAAAGTTACCTAGCTTTGTCAAGGTTAGGAAAAACATACTTTATGACAACATTTTAGATCAAGACTCTTCTACATACCACTTCTGTTGATGTTTCTGCATGTTCAGAAGTAACATGTTCTTGAAGAGATGTCTCCGTATAGCCCATTTTTCCACAATAGGGACAAGTAAAAGACTGTGGCTGCTCTACAGAGAAAGCTTCCCCACCATAGTATAAATCTGAAAAATAAAGTGGTATTGTATTGAGAATCAATTCAGTTTCTAAATGTACAAAATAAAATCATAAGGTATAAAAATCTAAAGTAAAAAATGGACCTAAAAATCCATCAATGTCTCCCTTTGTTAAGTAAGGTCTTAAGTACCTCTCACTACCCCATTCCCCCATTATTTGAAGTATCTTTCAAAGTCCCAATGTTAAAGGCTTAAGTTCAGTTTGTGGCATATTGGGAGGTGGTAGAAATTTAAAAAAAAGAGTAGGGTCTAGTTGGAAGAAGTTAAAATAATAGGGATGTGTCCTTGAAGAGGATATTGGGACCTTAGCCCATTCCTTTCTCTTCATTTCCCCCCACCCTCCCTCTTTTTAAGTTTTGGCAAGAATTTAGTATAGCAGGGTTAAGGGAGAAACAGGAAAGGAGAAACATTTTGTGCTTTTTATGCAGTAAATGGGAGCTAAAGACTCCTCTCTCTATTTTCCAGCTACCATGAGGCAAACAACAACCTTCCTCTGTCATGGGTTCCTGCTATAATGTAGTATCCCACCAGAGACTCAAAACAACAGGGCCACACAATCACGGAATGAAAATTCAAAAATTGTCATCTAAAACAATGTGTGTGTGTGTGTGTGTGTGTGTGTGTGTGTCTGAAAGAGGCTTGAAATCAGGCTCTGGGAGCTGTTGCTAAGCTTTTCTTTGGCTAAGGCTAGCATTCTACCACGTAAACCATAGCTCAGTTGGAGATAAGAGATACATGGACTTTGCTGCCCAGGCTCGCATCAAACTGTAATCCTAAGATATCAGCCTCCTAAGGAATGAGGAACTAAAATTATAGGTGTGAGCCACTGGCACATAGATCCTATTATTTATTTATTTATTCATTTATTTATTTATGTCAGTCGTGGGGCTTGAACTCTGGGCTTGGGCACTGTCCCTGCCAGTGCCTACCGCTACAGCCACAGCGCCACTTCCCGTTTTCTGGGGGTTTATTGGAGATAAGAGTCTGACAGACTTTCCTGCCCCGGCTGGCTTTGAACCGTGATCCTCAGATCTCAGCCTCCTGAGTAGCTAGGATTACAGGTGTGAGCCACCGGCGGCTAGTAGATCCTTTTAAATTGATTATTTCAAGTATTTTGTCACACTGTCTGAAAGCTGACAATCTTTAATTTTGAAAATGGTCATTCTACAACTGTATCCAATTTTATTGTAACTTTTTTCCCTCTCTATATACAGTGACAACATTAATATCAACAGAAAGAATAAAAAAAGGCATTCTATACACAAGGACACAGTATACAGAGGGAAAGAACGATGACCACAGTCAATATGCCAGCTCCTACATGGAATTACTTGTCTATATACCATACTATTCTTACAGCAGGAAGGATTCCTAGGTATTCAGTTCCAGTGATACAAGCTTAAATATAACTATAACACATTACTCAATGGATTATGGTCTGTGTAAAGAATGTTTTTGCCTCATTAACATCTCTCCAGGAATAACCCTATTTTTCTCTATAGGTCACATCAAGAAAAGTCAAAGTACATTTACTATGTTATGCCACTTCACCTCAAAGAATTATTTATTAGCTGGGTGCTGGTGGCTCACTTTTGTAATCCTAGCTACTCAGGAAGCTGAGATCTGAAGAATATGGTTCAAAAGTCTGTGATACTCTTTAATTAGCCACCAGAAAACTGAAGTGGTGCTGTGGCTCAAAGTGGTAGAGTTCTAGCATAAAGCAAAAAAGCTCAAGGACAGAGTTCAAGCCCCATAACTGAAAAAAAAAAAGATTTCTGCAAAATACTAAATGAAAATTAAATAAGCATTCAAAGAAAACATGAACTCTGTAGGATATTACTAGTATCCTAGAGGATTCTGCACTTTTACATATTGCTGGCACTTTTAGTCATATTATTGCTAACCCTCTAAAGCCTCTGCTTCTGTTAGCCTGTTAGGCTATATGTAAAAGTAACCTGCCTGTAACCACTGTTCTGTCCTGTTCTCACACATTTGTAGAAAAGGGATTCTTAACTACATCTGTGCTAATAGATTCACTGTTGGAATGAGAAGGGTGATCAGAATGGGAGGCACAGGGTTAGTTCCTCTACGATACATTGGATCAGAGCCTCAGCAACCTTCACTGCACAGAGGGCCAATCTCCATGTCTCTCTTCCTCTAGGGCAAACCTGTTTGGTTTCTTAGAGCACTAAATACCTGTATGAATGCTTTGCACACACTAGAAATCATTTAGGAGCTGGGCGCCGGTGGCTCATTCCTGTAATCCTAGCTACTCAGGATGCTGAGATCTGAGGATTGGGGTTCCAAGCCAGCCTGGGCAGGAAAGTCTGTGAGACTCTTATCTCCAATAAAGCACTAGAAAACAGGAAATGGCGTTGTGGCTCAAGCCATAGAGCACTCCCCTTGAGCTGAAGAGCACAGGGACAATGCCCAAGTCCAGAGTTCAAGATCCATGACAAAAAAAAAAAAATCATTTCGGAAACCCATCAATGTTTCTTTCTTTTTTTTTTGGTCAGTTGTGGGTCTTGAACTCTGGGCCTGAGCACTGGCCCTCAGCTCTTCAGTTCAAGCCTAGCTCCACTTGAGCTACAGCCCAACTTCCGGTTTTCTGGTGGTTTATTGGAGATAAGAGTTTCACGGACTTTCTTGCCTGGGCTGGCTTTGAACCCTGATCCTCAGATCTCAGCCTCCTGAGTAGTTAGGATTACAGGCGTGAGCCACTGGCGCCCGGCCCATCAATGTTTCTTTTACTCCTACAAAAAATGTCATTATGAAAGAATCTCACTTAAAAAATTAAGTATTCTTTATATTTTTTCTTTTTTTTTGCTGATACTGGGGCTCAAACTTAAGGTCAGGGCACTCTCCCTTAGCTTTTCACTCAAGGTTGGTGCTCTACCACTTGAGCCTCTGACTTTTAGGTGGAAATTGGAGATAAGATTTCCATGGACTTTCCTGTTTAGGCTGGCTTCCAAGCACCATCTTCAGATTTCAACTTCCTGAGTAGCTAGGATTAAAGAAATGAGCCTCTAGCACTGGTATTTACTTTTAAACATGAAACTAATATCAAATTAGGAGTAAAAGATCACTTCTATTAGAAGAGAAAAATAAATGCTGGGTACAGTGGCTCATGTCTGTAATTTTAGCTTCTTAGGAGGCTGAGATCTGAGGAATGCAGTTCAAAACCAGCTTGGGCAGAAAAGTCCCCATGAGACTCTGATCTAACAAAAGTGGAGCTGTGACTCAAAGTGGTAGAGCACTACCCTTGAGCAAAAGGAACAGTGCCCAGACCCTGAGCTCAAGCTCTACAATTGACAAAAAAAAATTTTAAAAACTAAAAACAATAAAAATGTTCACTATATGTTTCTTCATATTAATTTCCATGGATATATATATATATATATATATATATTGAGCATTATTATCTGCACAAGATTTGCCAGGTAGATTTGGGGTAGTTGAGGATAAAGAACAAGTTTTCTCACTTCATAAAAGGCATTTACCAAAACTGAACAAACTTTATACTTTTAAATGTCTTTCTCATAAGATCAGGAAGACAAGAACATTGTGTCTACTTCTGCCATTTCTACTCAGTATTTTATTGAAGGATATAACCAGAGTACATAAGAGGCATCCAGACAGAAAGGAAGAAATAAAACAATCTATGAGTTTGGAATACATAAAATCCTAAGGAATCTACTAAAATCAAATAAATAAGTACAGCATCATTGCAGAATACAAAGTCTACATATAAAAATTTTCTATATATCTGCAATGAATAACCTGAGACTTAAATTTTAAAAAAAGCACTTCACTTACACCAGTAGAAAGAATACTTAGGCATAAATTACAGAATTCTGTCAAAAGAAACCAAAGATCTAAACAAATGGAAAAACATTCTGTTTATGGATGACTAGATTTAGTATTTTGATGATTATACAAATCCCTATCAAAATCTTATTGATTCTGTTGTACAAATGGTTGGAAAATCCACACAATTTCATAACTTACCACAAAGTTATAGAAATGAAGATAGTATAGGACTGGTATAAATAAACAGTGACATGTAGATCAACAGAACAAGATTACAAAGATGCCAGGTGCCCACACCTATAATCCTAGCTACTCAGGAGGCTGAGATCTGATGGTCATAGTTTGAAGACAGCCTGGGCAGGAAAAGTTTGTGAGACTCACTCCAATTAACCATCAAAAAGCCAGAAATAGAGCTGCAGCTCAAAATGGTAGACTACTAGCCATGAGCTTTTGAAAAAGCTCAGGGACAGCACACAGCCAAGGCCCCAAGTTCAAGCCTCATGACCAGCACGCATGCACGCACGCACGCACGCACGCACACACACACACACACACACACACACACACACGGACAGCACACAGCCAATGCCCCAAGTTCAAGCCCCATGACCAGCACACACACACACACACATGGACAGGGCACAGCCAAGGCCCCAAATTCAAGCCCCATGATTAGCACAAACACACACATGGACAGCGCACAGCCAAGGCCCCAAGTTCAAGCCCCATGACCAGCACACACACACACACACACACAAAGATAATTCACTAGGATAGAGCATAGTTATTTAGACCAATGATGCTAAAGCAAATGAATACTCCTATGTAAAAGCTGACCTTCTACCATATATGTTAATTCTGAATGGATAAAAGATCTGTATGTCACATTAAGCAATATTTCTTTTTAAAGACAAGGCACCAAAAGCATGTAACAAAAAAATTGGTTATTATAAAAATGATTTAAAACCTACCAGATGACCAAAAGTAAATTTTTGTAAATTACCCATGTGATACAGATCATGTCTATATCATGAATTATTATAATTCAATAATGCATCTTATATAATTTCAAAAATAGGCAAAGGATCTGGATACTTCTTCAAAGAAAATATACAAGTGAGTAATAACCACACACAAAAAAGATGCTTATGAGAATTAACCATCAGAGAAATGCAAACCAAAACCATTGACATACCTCTTCACACCTACTACAAAGGCTATAACCAACCCCCGCCAAAAAAACAAAAAAACAAAAAACAAGTGATGGCTAAGTAAGATGTTGTAACATGAAACATTTATAGCTTTTTTTTCCTTTTTTGGTCTGTTTATATGGTATCAAGGAATTTCAATTCACCCAGGGCCTCATACATGCTAGGCAACATTCTGCCAATAAGCCATATTCCTAGCCCAGCTTTTCTAACAGATTAACAATGCTCTTTTTACACTACACAATTTGCTTTTTTAGTTACCATAGCAAGAAGTAGTACTATATACTATTAGCAAGAACAGTCTGCTTGATTTGACTCCTTTCCTGAGATACTTTCAAATGTTGCGTGAATTTTTATTTCATAGCTTGTAAGTTATGGATTTTTCAGAAGAAGTTTCATAAAACTGATTGAGACAAATACAGGTTCACTCTGATTTTAATAAATTTGGATGTATGCTATACATAGTTGGTTTCAGAACATTTTGTTTGACTTCTTACACATATATGCACAAAATTCTAAAAGATAATTCATGGAAATTCTCACTGAATACTTACCAAAATCTACCCTTGTTAATATGCACTGCATTGGGTGGTCAGTTGTATGCCTTGTTGTTGTTGCACCACTTTCATAACAAGATGCACAAAGATCGTAATCGTAGCAAATTAAACACTTATATCTGCGACCTCGAAAATTTCCTTTTAAACATGCATCACAGCTGACACCTATGTTGAAAACATTAAAAAGGAATATATTTAATTAGCAGTTATAAAAGTACACTCTCCATTTCACTTTTATAAACACTTAGGGTTGATTTAATTCCATATATCCTTTCCAAAATAACTAGAAACACCACAATGAAGTAACAATTTCCAGCAGTATGGTGGATTTATATACCTCACAAAAATAGCTTTAAGCTGGGTACTGATGATCATTCCTGTAATTCAAGCTACTCAGAAGGCTGAAAGCTGAAGACTATGGTTCAAGTTAAGGCAGACAAGTCCCTGAAATTTCAATTAACCAGCAAAAAGCCCAGCCCAGCCATGAAGGCATGCCTCAAGTGGTAGGGTCTTTGCCTTGAGCAAAAAAGCCAAGAGGCACCAAGACCCCGAGTTAAGGCCCCTGTACTGGCACAAAAACAATAAAAACAGCTTTAAGTCTGGCTGCTGGTCTTTTGTGCCTGTAATCCTATGCTAGGTCAAGGAGGCTGATATCTGGATTGCAGTTTGAGGCCAGTCTGGGCAGACAAATCTTTTCCTTTAAGGGATTACAAAAAAGTGCTCTAGGGCTGGGAAGGTGGCTCAGTGGTAGAGCACTTGCCTTGCATGCATGAGGCCCTGGGTTCGATTCCTCAGTACCACATAAGCAAAAAGAAAAAAGCCGGAAGTGGCACTGTGGCTCAAGTGGTAGAGCGCTGGCCTTGAGCTGAAGAGCTAAGGGACAGCACCCAGGCCCAGAGTTCAGGCCCCAAGACCAGACCTCCCCCCGAAAAAAAAGTGCTCTAGTGAAATTCCCAACCTGTATTTGGAGGGCAAGGGTAGGTGGGGGCAGGGGAAAAAAATCCGAAAAGCCATAACCACAGAGCAGCTTTCTTATAGGTTTGTAGTCCAAATTCTACAAAATGGTTCCAAAAGCCAGGGTGAACAATGTAGTTTAATGTGCTCTTAAATTAGTATTACCTAAGAGGACTAAACTTCTAAGGAATAAATACACTTTAAATAAAAATCATGACAGCAGAATTGAGGCTGTCAACAGTTCATACCAGAAATATGTATCATATACAAATTTGTTATTTCTTTTTTATTTTTGGTTCGGTCGTGGGGCCTGAACTCTGGGTCTGGACGCTGTCCCTCAGCTCTTCAGCTCAAGGCTACTGCTCTACCACTTGAGCCATGGCGCCACTTCCGGTTTTTTCTTTTTTGCTTATGTGGTGCTGAGCAATTGAACCTAGGGCCTCGTACATGCAAGGCAAGCACTCTACCACTGAGCCACCTTCCCAGCCCACCAAATTTGTTATTTCTTCTTAGACAGTGTCTCAATGTAGATCAGGATAGCCTCTAATTCAAGATTCCCCTGCTTTAGCTACCTGATTCTGGGATTACAAGTTTAAGGCCATGCATCACACTTCATCTGACTCCCTGTAACAATTCTTGTTATGTAAAAACAAAACAAAACCCCCTAAATTTAAAACTCAACAGGCAAGCAAGCTAAATAGAAAAGGCCATATATTTACATGTGACATGCTTATTTATGCAGAAAACTCATGTACAACTAGAATCAGAATTGTGTATTAAGCAAGGGTGCTAGATACAAAAACTAATTTAATAAAATACTTATTGCATTTCCTTGAAAATATATCAAGCCAGGAGCTGGTGGTTCATGCATATAATCCTAGCTACTTAGGAAGCTTGAGATCTGAGGATCAAAGTTTGAAGTTAGCCTGGGCAGGAATGTCCTCTTATATCTTATTAAACACCAAAAAAAGCAGAAGCAGAGCTGTGGCCCAAGTGGTACAGTGCGATCCTTGAATACAAAAGCTCAGGGACAGTGCTTGGACTCTGAGTTCAAGCCCCAAAAATGGTAAAAAAAAAAAACCAAAAAACACACAACAGAACAAATTTTTAAAAAATGTATCAACTGAGCATAATCTCAGTTGAGCATAATCAACTGAGCATAATCTCAGAAGGCTGAGACAGGAAGAACTTGAGTTGGAGGCTACCTTAGGCTATCTAGGGGAAAAAAAAACAACTAGAGCAAAAATAATTTATGATTTAAGCTACATCAGTCAAACTGAAAGAAAGTAAAATACTGGTTACCAAGGGACAAGGAAAGGTGGAAATTGGTTAATTGTGTAGGGTTTCAGTTTGTGATGATACCCATTGTAGATAGTTAGTAATGGTTAATAACAATGTAAGTGTACTTAATGCCATGGATTTGTAAATGCAAGATGTAAAAACAATGAATTTTACACCAGAAAAAAAATAAGCCAGTTTCATCAGGTGCTGGTGGCTCACACTTGTAATACTAAGTTCTCAGGAAGCTGAGATGAGAGGATTATGGTTCTAAACTATTCCAGACAGGAAAATCCATCATGAGACTATCTCTAATTAACTACCAAAAAGATAGAAGTGGAGGGGCTGGGAAGGTGGCTCAGTGGTAGAGCGCTTGCCTTGCATGCATGAGGCCCAGGATTCAATTCCTCAGCACCACATAAGCAAAAAGAAAAAAGCCGGAAGTGGCGCTGTGGCTCAAGTGGTAGAGCGCTAGCCTTGAGCTGAAGGACAGTGCACAGGCCCAGAGTTCAGGCCCCACGACTGGACCTTCCCACCCCCCCCCAAAAAAAGATAGAAGTGGAGATGTGACTCAAGTAGTAGAGCACTAGCTTTCAGCAAAAAAGCTCAGGGACAGTGCCAAGGCCCTGAGTTCACGCTGCAGGACATACCAAAAACAAAACAAAAGCCAGTTGCAACAGCATTAAAAAAATGACTATGTGGGCTGGGAAGGTGGCTCAGTGGTAGAGCGCTTGCCTTGCATGCTCGAGGCCCTGGGTTCAATTCCTCAGCACCACATAAGCAAAAAGGAAAAAGCCAGAAGTGGTACTGTGGCTCAAGTGGTAGAGCGCTAGCCTTGAGCTGAAGAGCTGAGGCACAGCTCCCAGGCCGAGTTCAGGCCCCATGACTGGACCAAAAAATAAAAAAAATAAAAAAAATGACTATGAATAAAATGCCTATGAAATCCTTTATGAAGCAAATAAAAAGTATATTCAAAGAAGGCATTAAAGGACTTAAAATATAGAAATATTAGGTTCATAAACAGGACAGTTCATAATAAAACTAATTTCTCTCCAAATTCATTTGTGGATTTAACATAATTTTAATCAACCTCAACAAAGAACCTTTTTATGACATGGTAAGTTGAGCAAACTTTTAGGCAAGCTGCAAAAAGCCAAGATCAATCAAGAGACATCTAAAGAAAAGTAAGATGGAAGGATGGACTTAAGCATATCAAAAAAACTACAGAAATAAATACAGGAAAGGAGGGAGCAAAGTGTAAACTGTCATAGTCTGTACAAGAAAAATAGTATTGGATCTCTTCCCTATACTCTATATACAAAAATCAATTTCACATGGTTTAAAGAAAAATGCAAAAGGAAAATAAAAAACAATTGATAACAGAATACAGTTTAAGATGGAATTTTATATGCTCAGAACAGAAAATAAAAGCCGGGCATTGGGTGGCACATGCCTGAAATCATGGCTATTCAGGCGGCTGAAATCTGAGGATCGTGGTTTGAAGCCAGCCCAGGCAAGAAAGTCCGTGAAACTCTCATCTCCAATAACCTACCAGAAAACCGCTCAAGTGGTAGGGTGCTTGCCCAGGAGCAGAGTACAAGCCCCACAACTGACAAAACAAACAAACAAACAAACAAAAACCCAGGAAATAATTTTTCAAATCAATCTCTCTCTCAAGCATGCATATAGCATACAATCCAAACCACAGAGATAACTTAAAACACTCTAAAATTAAGACTTTCAGTTGAGTGATGTTATTCAGGAGGATCCTGGTTTGAAGGCAGCCTATGCAGACAAAATCTGGAGACTCATATTTCCAATTAACTGGCATATAGCCAGAACTGAAGGCATGGTATAAGTGGTAGAGCCAATGACCTTGAGCAAAAAAAGATAAGCTCTGAGTTCAAGCTCCAATACTGGCAAGTGTTTGCACATAGGACTTTTTATCTTTTAACACTTGAGTGACTAAAAAGACAAGACCCATAACTGGTGTTATGCATGACATACATAATAAATTTTATATTCAGAAAAAATTTTATATTCAGAACAGCTCAATATTTCTGATCTATCAATAGCAAAATGACCTATATACAGTAGAAAAATGGACAAACTGTCAATGAGCACTACAAAGAACAAACACAATTGGATGAAAAGATGCTCAGCTTACTTATCAAAGAGGTACAAATAAAAACATGAGCTATATTTTTATATCTGGCAAAAAGTTACATATCAAGTTCTAGTAAAGAAAAAAAGGGGGGGCTACTTCTCGATCATACTGGTGGAAATGTACATCCAAGAACTATGTTGAGCAACCTCAACGTGTCGAATTCCTATGATATTACAATTTCATTTTTAAGTATATTCCTTGGGTAGGTTTTTGTCCATGCATACATGTAATATGTTCCGGAAATACTTGAGCAAGAAGATGAATATTCCAAAGCAGTATTTCAAAATAGTTTGTGGCCATGCCAATACTTTTAAGCCTAAGATCAAAAATACTGAAAGGGGATAAATATCTACTTAACATAACTGAATACCATAATCTTGACAAGTGTGGTGTGAGCTCTGAGGCCAAAAAGGTAAATCTACCTCTGAACACTTAACTTCTGGTGTATGGCCTGACAGATTTTCCACTCAAAACTATATTTTTTTCTAGAACTTCTATCATGTACAGCAGAGTAACAAAATTTGCTCCTTTAATGTCAACTACAGGAAATTTAAAGTTCTTATTACAGAAAACAAGTTAGCTCCTTTTTTTAGGTTTAACAGTGTTGCTCCCTGGTACCAGGAGACTCAGGAAAACTTCAAACAGAAGAGTGGCATAAGCAAAACTGTCAATACCTGGTAAGGACAGATTGCTTCTGATGAAATATTAGTAAATTATGAAATGTTAGTAAATTAGTAAATTATGAAATATTAGTAAACTAAGATAT